TTCTTTCAAATAACATAGACCGTTTTTCCTACCTCGGGAGATTTAAAAGGGTGTTCACTACCAGCCCCCGGTCCCCCCAACCCGGCAGGGCGGGGGGGGGAATTCTGGGAGTTGAAGTCCACACATCTTAAAGTTCCCAAGGTTGAGAAACACTGTGCTAGATGATTAAAATGCAGACCCCCTTTGAGGTCCAGACCTCTCCTCCTTAGAGAGTAGCCATCAGCCTCTGGAACATCAACAGAACAACAGAAACTGAGCAGTACTCCAGATTAATCATTTTCTCAGCAAGGCTCAGTGATGTATTGAATAGAGATTCCCTCTTGCCAATTTCCAGGCTGCCTTTAAAAGACCCCTTTTCCCCCAAGGGTTTTTCAAATCTGTAATTTCAGGGCTGGATGTCCATCCTTCAGGATGGAGACCTTGAAGGAGACCCTTTTCCTCGCCCTGCTCAGCTTACTCTAATCAACCAACCTTCAAACATCAAAATCTAAATCTAGAAATATTCAAAGCACACCCAGAAAGATTGCCCAGGCACTATTTCACCATCTCATTCTTGAGCCGGTAGATAAATTTGATTCACAAGACAGTTTCCTAACAGCTCTGAGAACGCTGTTCTTAGCTTGCATTTCCCTTCCAAAAACAGCTAGCTCTCAGTCATAAAAATACACACCTATTTTTTTTAAAAAACCCACACTTGACAAGAGCAAGTCTAATTTGAGCAGCCTGATGGGAGAAAAGCCAGTCTGAATTTTTTAAAATGTTATTTATCTACGAAGAACCCGGAAGAAGAGTTTTGCTGTCTCATTCTTGGATATTTGTCTCTCTCCTAATGCACGCTGAAGTGAGATGTCCATTCGCCTTGTAACAATCGAAAAAGCATTTCTAATAAAAGGCTTGATGATCTGTCCATCTAACGCAGAAGTACCTCCGGTGGGACCTCAGGACCTGGTTAACATCTAGCAGAGTTTATGTGATGCTAGTTTTGATATTCCTGCAAAGTCCAGTTGGAATGGGACATGCTGATCCCCTTGCAGAGAAAATTATTATGGACCTCTTTAACATTCCTACTTGAGATAAAGATGCCTCATGGCAGAAAACCTGGACTGGTTACAATTCCTGCTGGAGATATCTGGCAACCTCAACCTTTTCTGGTCTTTGGTTTGACCTCAGAAATAAATCCATCTTAGACTGCCTGGGGGATCTGGGGCAGAAGGGATACCTCCTTTTTTTCAATGTACATGTTTTAATACTCCCCCAAGCCTGTCACTTCTGTCTTCTTGGTTCCAATCCAACCAGTCCTTGAGTCTAATATTGGTGAGAACATTTCTCCATGCTCTTTTTTATAACTGATGACATTTCTACAGGGGCCCCTTCATCTCTGCACTGGTCTCCCTCTAATTTGCTTTTAGTGTCCTTTAGAAGGAAGGGTAGATGGATCTACTCCCAGCTGGGCTCAGTGCAACAGAGGAGGAAAACGAGAGCTTATATGTTGCATCCTGAAATAATGAGGAGTATGAAATGCCAAAGTTCTCATGAGGACACCATGAAAGCTGCTGTGTATCGCCCCCAAAAACGCCTTCTTACCCAAGACCCCAGCTTTGCAACCACCATGTTCCCAGCTGTACCATTTCCACCACACACCCACTGTTTCATTAACAACAATACCATTGTTGAGCTCTCCACGGAATGAAGGATTGAGGCCCAGTGATGAAAGAGGCTTGTTTATGCATTTTCCTTGGAGTAAAGAAAAAGACCAGTCATTGTGTAGCTTTTGTGTTTCACATAATGAGCACCAAAAATCTTATTTTAAGCTTCTACACCTCAGCTTGGACCTTTTAAAGCGTCCATCCACATTGTAATGTCCATGCCAGCCTCTCAGGAGAACCCACAACTCATTGCTGGAATACACCCTCCACCTTCAGAAAACCCTGGTTTGAAGTCACCAGCCTCTCCAAATGCTGGCAGGGAACTTCTCACCCTTCAGACATTGTTGAACTCCAGTTCCCATTGTCCCCACCCAACCTGGCCAATGGTTTGAGATAATGGGAGGCATAACCCAATCACCTCTAGATGATCACAGGTTTCTCATCCCTGAGTTAGAAGAATTCAGGAAACCAGCTAGGGAAAATCTTTTTGGTCAAAATCTTTGGTCAAAACCCACCAAAACAAACCGGGCTTCTCGAATAGCCACTAGCCCTGGCTTAAAACTGCCTGAGGATCATGGGTTGTTTTGGGTGCACTAAATCATCATCCGATGCAGGGACGTGAAGGAGAAAACAAACAGCCCCCAGATTGTTCTGTGATTTATTAAGCCATAACATTTAGCTCTGTGTGATGTGCTAGCACCGTTTCCCCGTCCACCCATTCCTCATATCATAACTCTGCTGCGTCTGCTGTTCTCCAGCCAGCATTTCCCCCCCTTCCCTCTCCCCCTCCTCCTCTAACTCGCTTATACTCTTTCGCCTTTCCTTGTAAGGAAGGGGTGCCAATCCGATGAATTGTTTCTCCTTTTCTGCACACGTTGCCAGCGCCGAGGGAGCAGGAGGCAAACGGCTTGCCCGCTGGAACTGAAAATCAAAGGCAGGCTGGCGATGCTCACAGGAACGCCCGCCCAACACAGAGTTGCCCATCTTTTCACCCCAGCCCTGACAGGGAACTGAACTTGTGTTAATAAACTTGGTAGAAGGCAAGTTGGCTTAATCCATGGTAGGCTAAAATCAGAAAGCAGTAGCTTGCCAAAGCTTACGCCTTGCAATAAAATCCTTTGGCCTTAAAAAGGGCTTCCTGGTGCTTTCTGATTTTTGTTAATGAAGCGCCACGGTCCCACAAAACCAGCATGTTGGGGTTAAAAAGGTTTCCCAGGCATCTGAAGGCCTTGCATTTTATCCCAGTCAGATTTGTCTGGGCATTTCCCAAAAGGAATCACTTTATTATTCCTCTTTGAATGATCTTTTTGAAGGCCAGATTCATATTACGTGGAGCGTAGGGAACAGATTTTCTTCTTTTTTTTAATTTTTCCATACCAGCTTTTTCCTCCAACCACCCCATTCCTTCTCATGGGACGAAATGCCGGGGATCAGCTTCACTCTTTAAAGCCTGGGTAATTAAGCCCTGCCTTGAAACAAGCCCGGAGACGCATTTTAGCCTCCGATCAGCCCTGCAAGGTAGGAACTAGTAGCCTGCACCGGAAGAGTTTCAAATAGCAAATTTAGGAACAGGTCCATCTGCCTTGGCATCAGGGTGGTCTCTCTGCCCATTCCAACCACAGATGCTAGAGATGGAAAACGGGAGTTGGGTCAACACGTAAGAACTCTCCCTTTTGGGAGGAGAGAATTCGCTCAAGAGTTTGGAGCAAGTGTGCAAGGACCTCGGTATTGTCCACACGTTTCTCACCAATCCACCCAAAGGCATCGAAGGGCTTTTAAAATGAACGTTTTGAACTTTGGTTTTTTTCATCAATAATTCTGGAACCTCCAGATCAGAGCATCAGGTTCCAAAATCACAACTACCCACTAAAATTAGATTTGTTTGAAACACACGCAGACAGAGGGTGTTTCAGCCAGATCTGCCCACTTCTAAAAGACTCCATTCCAGCCCGTTTTCCTTTCCTTTTAACTAAATGTAATATTTCAGTGTATTGAAAAAGTCCCTAATCTGTTGGATTAGGGTTCCTTCCATTAAATATCTGTTTCCACTTCTGCCAACAAGGAAGGGGGGGGGGAGATTGTCCTTGTCTAACTCCCCTTTAGAAGCATCCTAGCTAAAGCCTCAAATTGTGGGTGCAATTAGGAATGGTGCAAAATCAAAGGCTCCACACGCTTTAAGGATTTGTTTCACACACACACACACACACACACACACAGAAAGAAGATCTTCTGGTTGGGACAATATTCATAATGCTTTCGACTTCCTTCTCCCACTGACCCATAATGCATGAACGCAATTTTCAAAGTTGATATCCAGATTTGTTGCATGACAATCACAGAATATTCCTGTGGCAGGGAAACTAGGAAACGTTTTCCTTTGAAGAATAATTTCATCTGCGTTTAATATTCATGCAACAAATACAGCTATTAATGCTTATCTTCAACCAGTTCTTTAAAGATAACCACCAATGCCACCAGATTGCAATAAGATAAAACAGTGAATGCTGAAATACAATTTTGGAAATGATCAAAGGGGAGAAAAGCCACCCCAAATATAGTCTAGAATTGAGGTGGGGAGTCTGAGATCTTCTGGATTTATTAGCTGATTGATTGTTATTGATGTACTGCTTCTGCACAGACTCCTGGCTGCTTACACCCATTAAAAATGTACGAATGACATCCTATCCTGGCAAAAATCAAATGTAAATTTTTAATTATTCTTGTTGGTGATGTTATAAGTAGAAATAATACATGAGTGCAGAGGCAACCACTCTCTAATACTCAAGGATGCTGAACTTTAATTCCCAGCTCTCCAGATTTCCCGGCCAGCGGTGAGAAACACTGGGAGTTGTAATGCACCAAGATCCAGAACAGACTCGTCTATGTTAGCCATCCCCACCATACTTGTAGCCTATTTCCACCATACACACAGACCAACCTCTTAAGCATTCACAGGCAGAATGAAAAAAAACAAAAACCAAATGATCAGTTTCTAAATGAATAGGCGTCTTACTAATTTTAGGACAGCCCTAAGCTTGGACCGATACTCGCTTGCTTCTGAACGAGTAGTCCAGACATCCTGTTCAGCCAGCTAAAAATAAATTGAATTATTTAGGTCTCTTTAGTGTACTGCACGGTGTACTGACATTACCCTTTTTTTTCTTTTTCTGAAACAGAAGTCACTCTTGCACACCTGTATAGCACAGGCATCAAGAATAGAGGAACACATCTGGAGCACAAGGCAGAAGGCAAAATTAAAGCACTAGGTATCCCTGTTTATGATTCATTTCAAGGGAAAGCAGACAGGGCTTTCAGTAGGTACTCCTTTTGGGCTGAGATGTCCCCAACCATTTCAGGATCATAAGAAGAGGGTAACAATTGAAGATGGGAGTTTAATCATTCTGGAGTTTAATCCACATCAGCATTTCATAACTAGATGCCTTCCAGAGGTGCTGGATCATAGATCCCATTGGTTCTAATAGCAATGATGGTAATCCAAAAATAAATCAGATCATCTTGGGCTCTATAGAAGGCCAGATTGGGAACAGTTATCTGGTAGGGTACAGATTCTACCTAGGGGTTGAATCCAGAAATTGGACCTGAACAGGTGTAATAGTTACAACAGAGATCAGGTACACAAGTGTGACTTACAAGCCAAATATTTCTCTCTGGACAACCCTATCCAAGCTAGCAGGTTCTTCTGACAACAACTGTGATGCTGTTCAGAATAGAGATACTGTTTACCTCCCAACTGCAATAGTGACGAAGGGAACTTTGAAGGAGAGTGACTCAGTACAACAGCTGTTACTTTCTCTGATAATGAAGAAAAGTCAATGTCATGCCCAAGTTATCTAGAGCTACACTTTCTGCTAAAACACAAGCTTGACAAGTTGAGAGGGAAAATAATGCAACCGCCAACAGAAGAAGAGTTCTTCCACCCCTCTGCTACTCAGATTTGGGTTTTAACTTCTCAGATTTGGGTTGAGAAGATCTAGTTCCAAATCTTAGGGCTACCATCATGTTGGTTAGGGAGCCATAGTCTAACTTCTTGCTCTAAATACTGTATGACCTATCTCATAGGGTCATTATGAGGATAACGTGTAGAAGAAGGACATCATGGATGCAGCCGTGAGCAATTTGGAGGAAAGGTAGGATAACAAGATTATAGCAGAAGAGAAAGACTATCAGGTTGAGCATCTCTCCTGTGGACTAGATGAACATGTCCATCTATCTTTCTTGGAAAAAGTACAGAAGTAGCTTGCCATTGCTTTCTGCTGTTGCTGTTACCGTTGTAACTTCTGAGTTCACATTTCCTGTTGCTCTTCATGCAAGGATCCACCAGCCTTAATCCTACTTAGCTTTTTTCTGGATCAGCCAGAGTTGGGAACAGAGATGTAAATAAGACTGGGGTAAAGATGCAACAGTTTGTTTCAAAACTAATTAAAAAATCTCTAATTGACCCGATGTCACAGTGTACGCTATGCCTGTAAACACCATTCGACATTCAGATTTGGGGCCCACCTACAGTATTGTTCATTCTAACACTCCAGCCCTATTCTGATGGTTTCCTGCCATACAAACAAGTTATGGCAAGACATGAAATGAGTACATTTGCTTCTACCTAACCCACCTGTCAGCCCCACCAGGTAGACCAGACCAGGACATCAACTCCATGGGGAGAACAGAATTACACTTTATTGAGATTGACTATCACAGGGGTCCCCAAACTCTTCAGCCCATCGACCCCTTCATGAAGTTTCAGGTGGTTCATCCACCCCCAAACATTTATTATATGAAAATAATTTAATAAAGACTACTTCAACAAATAGTACTACGAATATTAAGGACAACAACGAGACAACTTAAGGTCATTCTCACTGGCAGCTGGCCATCCAGCCCTAGGCAACACTGTCTCACCGCTAGCCACCTGACCTTCAGGACTAGGGACTGGCATGGAGCTCTACAGAGACCCCGAAAGATTAATTGACCCCAATCGACCTCCCATCATTTATCAACCACCTATTGACCCCCCAGCCATTTACTGACTGTGGACCTCTTCTACCCCAGTGAATCAGAGTGGCGTCAGCCTGATGGTGAATGTTATCTCATTTCTCTGCACTTAAAAAATGTTTCAGCATTTAAAAAATGTGGCTTAGGTAACAGTTCTTGCATATTTCCACCAAGGCCATCTTCCTCACTCTCTGTAGTCCCATCTCTTTCTGACGGCTGAATGCAGAGAAAGAGGGTTGGTTTAAACTGTTAAATGTGAACAAGCTAAGATGTAAATCAGGATTTGATGTAGCCCTTGTCCTCATTAATCTCAGTTCCCCAGTGTTGGACTCTGCACAGAACTACGGTTAAAAGTGGAAACAGAAATAGGCAGACCGCCTCTTTCCCAGAGGCTGAAATAAATAAGAACTTTGAACAGTAAACATTTGCATTGGTAATTAAAAAAAACTTTTCCCCATTACCTGCAGAGTAAGGTTCTTGTTTCTCGATGTAAATGAATTCCTCCCTTTCATATTTAGCCCTGATCCACTGTTCTCGTAGCAGTCTGACAAAAAAGGAAATCAGTGAAAGGATTTTTAAAAAAAACATTGGAATGATGAATTCTTCACAGAAAGCGGGCATCTTCCAGAAATAAATGAGGATACTAACTAGAATTCGGAACTGCCCACTGCCCTCTGTTTCTCCTCTAATCAGTCGAAAATGGAGGAAAAACCAGATTCCCCCCTCCGAATATATTACCTATTTGCTTTTCTAAAAACATTGAAAAGAAATAGGAATTGGGCCAACAGCTACATCAGTAGAACTGTGGAACCATCACCGAGTTTAGAAACTGAACACTATTCTAGGGGAAAATATCTTTCTCAGGCTGGATCATTAGAAGTTCTGGAGAAGTTTTTCCCGGGAACACCAAGAATGGAGAAGGAAAAAATCAAAACCAAGCAATCATGAGACGTTATTTAGGGGGGAGGGCTTGGAGGAAATGATTGCAGGTCAGAAGTCAATGTTCATCAGAGCATCAAACTGCTCCACTCAAAGAGGCCACGTGGAGACCCGAGACAAATGTAGAAAACAAGGAGGAAAGGCGAAAGAGTCCAAAAATACTGGAAAAGAAGAAAGAGTCTCAAGTGTTTCTAGTTTTTTCACATCTCATGGAACTTACTAGTTGTATGAGTCACCTAATCTAGCATTATAAGGTCAATCGGCATGTGATAAATTCCATAATTCATGTTTTGTCCCCTTCACGTATAAACATGCATTTTCTTCTTCCACAAACTAGTTTAACCCTTCTTTTTTCATAACCAAAAACAATGCAATAGTTAACTAACACAAAAAAGAAAGCAAAGCAAAGTGATTGTTTTCATCTATAACATGCACGAGCTGAGAAATTATTCAATTACAATCTTAGGCGGGGCACGCTTCCAAGCTGCGTCAAGGATGATGACTTTCCAAGCGTTTTGAATCAATTGTCAGAATCCAATTCAAGTTTCATTGAAGTTTAAAAAAAAAAAAAAACAGAACCAAACAGCAGAAATAAGCATTGGGATGGAGATTACAGATCTGCTGAAAGAGCCTTACGGCTGCTGAAAGAGACTTTTCCCCAGAAAGCTTGAGCAGAAAGTGGGTACTTACAGGCAGTCCAAAAAAGTTGGCTTATAATAAAATGGTGGGAGTTTTGATTCATATTTTGCTTTGGAGGCAGTGTTCCCCATGGAAGCCATGAACTGCAAACAAACACATTTTTTAAAAAGTCCATTATTAACTCATTCGGTTGACCAAAAGTTTCTAGATAGTCTCCCTTCCGATTACAGACCTATCTGATGGTCTGCTTAGCTTCAGCATATACAGCGGTGCTTAAAAGTTTGTGAACTCCTTGAATGTTCACTATTTCTGCATAAATCTGACAGATAAAATGTGATCTGTTCTTCACTCAAGTCCGAAAACTAGATTTTTCTTTTGTTTTCCTATTTTTTATTGTAAATAAATGTAATTTTATCTCTTGGTTGTGAGCCGCCCAGAGTTTGGTACAAGATGGGCGGCTGTACAACTGTAAAAAAGATCAAGATGGACACTGTGAGCTCTCAATTACTTGATTTTTTTTAACCTCCCTGATCCATGCCTTAGCACCACTCTGCAGACATCCCTGATGGTGATCTTCAAGTAACTCTACGGGGTCATTCAAAGCCACCCTCCAGCCGGTGAAAATCATTCTGTTTCAGGCATTCAGATATGAGCCCCATTATATTGCTGTCAGCCCTACTATGTAGATCAGACCAAGAAATCAATTCCACGGGAAAACTACTTTTATTAAGATTGGTTATAGTAACAGAATCTTGCAAGTCTGATTGTGCTGGACCTCCTCCCCCTCTTATACTCATGTGAATTAGGAAAGTGTCTGCCTGAGCCATTTTCATGTTTTTCTGCAAGTTTTGGGTTTAAGACACATTTTCTCTTCATCACTTTGGTAACAGATCTCACTTACCTCCATCAAGGTCATCTCCTTTACTCTCTTACAGAATGAAAAACAATACCAACAGAGGAGGAAGGGAAGAGAGGGTTCACTGGCCACAGGTAGGGAAGGTGCAAGAGAAGATGGAGAGGGCATAGGGAATGGCCTCGAAGGACGGGAGGAAAAGCCGCTAACAAGGAAACGGTCAGATAAGCAGAGCTTGAGCCTGGGCCAAGAAAATAACTTGAGAAAACGTCTCAGATAAGCCCCTCCCTAGTTTACATGAAGATAAAGGGAGGGAGAGGGAAGCACCTTCAGACTTGCAAGATTCTGCTACTACAGCTGTTACAACGAAAGTAGTCCTGACGTAAGCTGCAGTTAGGGCTGCAGACAGGACAGGACTCTCTCACCCCGTAACGTTTTGCTGCAGATCCTCTTCAATCAGCTGAGGGATAAATTGCATTGTACCCATCTCCTGCAATCGTTTAACCAACCTGGGCGGGCCGCATTTCCTTGCTTTTAACAATGACTTACCTCGACTTGCACTGAGTCCCATTCATCCATACGGACGGATTTCACCTTGCTGATGTGGGGGATGTTGTGGTGGATCCCCGAACAATTTAAGCAGATGAACACCCCCAAAGTATGAGAAGCCCAGTCTGGATCTACAGAGACAAAAAAGCATCGCAGCGTAAGTGGGTAAAACGCTGGAGCTGAGAGAAAAGGAAGTTGGCACCTTTACCGCCATCCTGTCATATATGATGTCATTGCTAGTTTACTGCCACACCCAAGATAGTTCTCAGATCATACTAAATTTTGATGCGTGATCCCAACCACCCTGATCTGTTGTTGCTGTCTATATGTCTAACAAATATCACACTTTAGAATGGAGGTTTTCCAGTGATTTTGGTTCTAAACAAGAGCCTAAGAATCATGGTGGTATTATCATAATACATATGGTATTATAATATATATGAAGTTTCAATATATATATATTGGCAAAGTCAGTGGTGCCAAATCCAGTCAATTAAAAACTTAGTTTGGAAGTTTTAGTGAAGACTTTGGTGAACCCCTTTGGTATATGTCCAAAAACTTCAATTATATAGTGTAATAGTTCTTATTTTCTTCCAGAGCTCTTCACCTGCAATTTGCAAATTTATATTACTTTTTCATTTTTGTCTTTGTCCATCTGATTATCTCCTGGCGTCGCTACATTTCTGAACTGCATTTTCTTTTAATGTGCAATCACGGCAAGGTCTGATGTGTTGTGTTTCAGCGGCCTGGCGGTCTGTATTTGAAACTCCCACAAAATCTTGACCTCCTCATTTTCTATGACTTTCTCAGGTGTACAATCCCGGTTTGGTTAACAAGCAAGCCAAACTTTGGACATAAATTCCAAGGCAAGATTTTGGCAGCTCCACCGTGGCATTGCTTATTCTCAATTGGGGGGATGTTTATGATACAGTCTTTATAGTCTACTGACCATCAAGAGCTAACACTGATGGTGGCACTGGAGGCACGAACCCGTCTGCAAGGCAGAGATGTCTGCAAAGGGGCAGGGGGTCAAAAACACCAAAATAAAGGCCAGAGTTACTGAAATTCCACCTTTTTTCTTTTTAACAGACACCATAGATCGTAAATGAAGAGGCCCTGGGGTTTTGGAAAGCTAGCCAGGTTCAGTGGCATCAAGGATGGAGAGGAAGGGTGATCTGTCCGGGTTACCCACCCATTCCCACGCTGGAGCCAGCTCTGCTGAGTTTACGGCCGAGGACGCTTACAGCAAAACCAACGTCTTGCTTCACTCCACGGTGGAAACACACTTGGCCCCTTGTTTATTGATTCAAAAGCCACAAAGATTGCTAAATGTGATCGCTGGGCAAAACGAAATGGGTTTCCCGTCCTGCAGGGGAAGACGCATTTTCTCCTCTCCTGACATGCAAGTGACTTGCAACAAAATATTTGTGTTATTTATTTAGCAGAAATGTTTATAGGCCTCCTGCCAGCTCCCAAAAAGCAACTTTTATTTCCTCTGTATTTCCTCGAAAAAATAAACCCCGTTTCCTCTAATAAAAAGCGGGGGGGG